GAGGTTTTCTTTGTTACCGAGTATGTGACCAATTTTCGAGAAGGTTCCATGAGCTGCAGAGAAGAAGTTATATTCTTTTCTATTTGGGTGGAATGTTCTATAGATGACTACTAAGTCCATTTGCTTCATTACCTCCATTTATTCTCATATTTCTCTATTAGGTTTCTGTCTGATTGACCTGTCCATTGGTGAGGGAAGTGTGTTGAAGTCTCCTACTATTTGTTTGTGTGGTTTGATATCTGCCTGAGTCTAGTAATGTTTCTTTTACATAAGTGGGTGCTCTTATGTTAAGGGTATAGATATTCAGGATTGAGACTTCATTCTGTAGAATTGTTCCTTTTATGAGTAAAAAATGACCATCTTGATCTCTTCTGATTGACTTTAGTTTGAAATCAGATTTGTTAGAAATTAGTATGGCCGCACCCACTTGTTTCTTAGGTCCATTTGCTTGAAAAACCTTTTCCCAACTGTTTACTATGAGTAGATGACTGTTTTTGTGGTAGAGGATTGTTTCTTGTAAACAGCAGAATGTTGGATCCTCTTTTTGTACCCATCTCTTAGCCTGTGCCTTTTTTATAGGTGAATTGAGTCCATTGATATTAAGTGATATTAATGACCATTCGTTGTTGACTTCAGTTATTTTTATTTTATTGGTAGTAGAGTTTGTGTGTTTCCCTTCTTTGAGTTGTTCTGGTGAAGTCTCGCTAAATGTCTACCAATTTTGCCAATGTTGGATTCCTTAGGTTGTGATTTTCCTTCTACTACTTTTTGTAAGGCTAGATTTTTGGCTACATATTGTATCAAATTTTTTCTCATTCTGGAATATTTTGTCTTCTCCATTGATAGTGAACAATAGCTTGGTTGGGTATAGTAGTCTGGGCTTGTATCCATGGTCTCATAGTTTCTGCAATACCTCTGTACAGGACCTTCTGGCTTTCATGGTTTCCATAGGGAAGTCAGGTGTAAGTCTGATAGGTTTACCTTTATAAGTTACTTGGCCCTTTCCTTTGCAGCTGTTAATATTCCTTTGATAATCTGTATGTTTTGTGTTTTGATTATATGGCAAGGCGATGTTATTTTGTGATCCAGTCTATTTGGTGCTCTGTATGCTTCATGAATATTCATAGGAATATCTTTCTTTATGTTGGGAAAGTTTTCTTCCATAATTTTGTAGAATGTATTTTCTGGGCCATTGAGCTGTAATTCTTCTCCTTCTTCTATCCCCATTATTCCTAAGTTTGGCCTTTTTATTGTGTCCCATATTTCCTGAATGTTTTGTTATGAGAATTTGTTGGATTTGCTGTTTTATTTAATCAGTGCATTTATTTTCTCTATGGTGTCTTCAGAATCTGAGATTCTTTCTTCTATCTCTTTTATTTTATCAGTTTTGCTTGTTTCTGTAGTCTCTGTTTGTTGACCTAGAATTTCCATATTCAGCCAGCCCTTGGTTTGTGTTTTCTTCCTTTCCTCCATTTCAGTTTTCAATTCTTGAACTGTTTCCATTACCTGTTTGATTGTTTTTCTTTGTTTCCCAGGGTATCATTTATGTATTTATTCATTTCTTCAAACTTTCTGTTATACTTCTCATCTATTTCTATAAGGGCATTTTTTACATGCTGTTTAAGGGACTCTATCGATTTCATAATGTCAATTTTCCCCTTCTTCTGGATTAGGGTGTTCAAGACCTTCTGTTTTAAGATCACTGGGTTCTCGTTTTTCATGTTGTTTTTCAGATTGGTGGAGGAATTCTTGCCTTGGCACCTGCCCATCTCTTCCTTCAAATGCTATCTGATGGATCTTATGGAACAGGATGAGGTTTTTCTTGCTGGCCATGGACCTCACTGACAAAAGGCCTACCTTGTTGCAGGCAGGCTATTGAAGCAAAGGAACCCCTTCCTGCCTGTTGCCCTCAGCACCCTGTCCCAGTGCCCAAACCCGCTGAGCTTGTGGATACCATGTTCCGGTGGAAGGGAAGAAGAAGAGAGGATGTTCCTGGGTGCAAACTGGGATGGGTAAGGGAGAGAGAGGTCCCAGCAGAGGGGAGTAGCCCCTGCTGAATCTATTGATCACATTCTTATAATAACTAATGCAGGTATTTGGTATATTTGACTTATTAATTGGACTTCTCAACCATTTGATCAACCCCATGTGTATTACCAAGACTGAGGAATGTGAAGGATTTTTCTCAGAAACAAACATTCACTTTGTCATTAGAAACTTCATTTGCTGGGCTGGGGCTACAATCAAAACTGCAGGCTGCCATTTCTTCCTGCCATAATCTTCTGAAATCAGGATCAGAATCAGCACTGCCCGCATAGGAAGGCATTTGTGGAAAATTGGACACATGCTGATATTAGGACTTTTACCTAATCCTTCCATAATTATACTATATGAGGATATTTAAATATCAATAAGTTTATTTTATATATACCAAATAAGTGACCACATTTCACTTAGTATAATATATATTATCAGTTTTAGTAATGTGTGGAAACAAATTGATATAAAGTTGAGTAGCTTCACAATGCTAGAAATTTAGGAAGAAGCAATGGGTTTTTGATCTGATCAAACAATATGGAGCCTGCAAACTTGCTTTTCTAGTTATTTTCTTCATCTTTATACAAAGTACATTAAAATTTAGAGGGAATGTTAACTAAAAGTTCTCCATTTTACTAGCCTGTTGTCATATCTATATTACACTTATTAAAAGAAAATTGATGTAGGAGTGCCCAGCCTTCTGTGAGTATTTCTGATCTTAGGCAGAACTATATGAGAAATCAAGCAGAAAAGCTAGCAAACAGCATTCCTTAAGCATCTATGCTTAAGATTTTTATATAATTAGGTTCAAATGCCAGTGAAGGAATGGGCTTGTTAGCTGGTATAGGAGGTCCTTTTGTCTTTGTGTTGCTTTCATTGGTTAATAAAGAAATTGCTTTGGACCTGTTGATAGGGCAGAACTTAGGTAGGAGGGGAGACTTAACTAAATGCTGGAAGAAAGAAGGGCATAGAAGAGAATTGCCATGGACCCACCTCAGGAGATAGACATGCTGAGACTTTGCTGGTAGGCCACCACCTCTTGATGATACACAGATCAATAGAAATGGGTTAAACTAATATGTAAAAGTTAGTCAATAAGAAATTAGAAAAAAATAAAAGAAATTAAAAAAAAGAAATTAGAGCGTATGGGTCAAGCAGTGATTTAATTAGATCAGTTTCTGTGTGGTTATTTTGGGGCTCTTCAAGCCAGGTTTGCCAGGATGAATGAGCAGAATCTCCTCCTACAAGTGGTGCTCCAACATGGTCTACTATACCTATGTAAAACTTGAGAGGCCTTAAAAAGGAATTGTGTGTGTGTGTGTGTGTGTGTGCATGTGTGTGTGTGTGTGCGTGTGTGTGTGAGAGTGTGTTGTTTAACACAGCTTGGTGTTTGCTAGAGGTGTGCCACAGTTCTTTTGAGAGATATTTTTTTTATCTCAGCAGCAGCAAGCAGCAGAAGAAAAACATGACATTTTTTGAAAAGCAAGCTTTATGGGCAAGGCATATGTATTAATCAATATATTATATTATATATATAATGTACATATGTATAAAAAATCCCTCTTTTTAACCTACTTATACTTTGAATATATATTATAGGTTAAAGGTTAAATTTTTGTGGGATTCATGATTGTGCAAATACATGGGACTGATTCGCAATGATTCTCTTTAGATCTTTTCTTCCTGTTTCTTCATTTTGACCTAACATAATGTGTTAACTTTTCTTAATCTTAGTATAATTTTTTTTTTTTACTTTCCCGTAGAAAACTGTTTGTTTTTCAGTGAGAAATAGAAGAGGTCGATAAGATAACATAAAGGGTTTACTGGAAGGACAATGGAAGAATAAAGGAATAAAGGAAGGAGCCATAATCAGGGAATATTATGTGGGAAAAATATTTTTAATGAAGGGAAAAAATAAACCAGTACTTTGTTTTAGTTTTATAAAATTTAATTCTAAAAATTATTTTAATTTCAATTAGGTGCATGTGTGATTTTTGAGGTGTGTTATTATGTGCACATCTGAATATATGTGTTCTTGGAATTCAGAAGAGGTTAACTCTTTCATTAGAGCTATTGTTATAGGAAGGTGTGAACTAAGTTGTGGGGAATGGATAGTGAACTCATTTCCTGAGAAAAAGCACACATGAATTTAAATGTGGAGACACATTTTATCTTCCTCAATATCCATTATATCTATTTATCATACATTTCTCTCCATTCTTTTTTTCTTTTTATTTATTTATTTAAAAAATTTTTTTAATATAATTTTTTATTGAAAAAAAAATTCCGCCTCCTCC